AACTGCATACATGTAGCATTGTCCAGACGCGGCGATGGGGATTCCAGGTTGCGGACATGCGCGTTCTCACAAGTGGGCCAGCAGACTTCGTTGAGACCAGATTGTTTTCCCACATTACTTGTCTGCAATCCTCGCCTAAAAACCGGTGGGCCCTCAGGCGATGGATCTCGTCGAGTCTCGGCGCGCAGCTTTCCCGGGGTCACAGCGCTCTTCCTTGGGGTTGGAGGTGGCAATTGTGCGACGACTTTTGCTGGGAGAGCGTCGTTCGGGGCTTTGCCGAGAAAGAAGGGATGTGTGCTCTTGGCCGGCCCAGCTGGTTTCGATGTCGCCTTCTTTTGGGCCGCTGGACGCGCTGCCAGCTTCTTCTTTGCGTTTAGAATCTCCTCAATCTTCTGGCCCAAAGCAGATCGGCTCGCTGCATCAGTTCCGTATCGTATGACTGTCACGGTGGGAAGTATCTTTGGTTTCGCGCGCGGGCGACCTCTTCTTTTCTTCGGTGACGCTACAGTGTCGAAAGCTGGTTTCGGTGGGCTGGAGACTAGTCTGCCGCTCTTGGTAACTCTTATCTGTTTCTTTGGCGTTGTTTTCTGCGATTCTTCTGCGACGGGACCGGTTAGAAGGGTGGCTGCATCCAAGTCTGGCAGAGGCTGTGTGCTGGGCGCGACAGCTTGTTCTTGTATTGCATCTACCACCATATCGCCTGCGTGAAACGCTGTTTCTGGTAACCCTTGCACCTCAATTGGCCGCGCAGCTTCCACCTGCAGTTGCTGGTGCCAATTGAATGCATTGGGCTCGGATTGCGCTGAAGTGGGTGGAATGGAAGGCTCTGGAGACGCGGTCTTCTGCCTCTTCCTCCGCTCGTGGTTTGGGTCGACCTCTAGTGAAGCCTCTACGGGTATGTTCGCGTTGCCCGAGTTCGCTTCATTGTTGTTATGTATCGTCGGAGGGCGAGTGAATTTGTCTAGAGAGGCTTGGTTCTTCGCGTGAGAAGCTACCTTTTTGCTCTTTGGGTCGGCTTTTCGTGCCCTCTTCTTCTGTCCTTGGATGGAATTGGCATCGGCCTCAGTGATTTCTGGATCGTCGAGTGCGTGATCGATAGGAGTTGCGTTTGCGTTTGCGTTTGCGATTGGCGATGGGTCTGGTACGTGGCCGTCTAGGAATCAGGTAAGCGCGGAATTTGCGAGTAGTATTGTGGCATACTGGTAGCTTTGGTAAAGAATGGATGTACGTTCTTGCCCTCTAGATTCATTGCAGGTTGTACTGCTGTGAGGGCCATTTACAGATTGTAAGATTATGGGAGTAGTCCAGACATGAGTGAGAAGCAGATGTAGTAGTAACAGGGTGTGGCAGGTGATTGCAATAGCCGGAGGTGCAGGGTGAAGGCGTGTGGTCGTCGTCGCCGTCAACGATGATCGAAGACACTTCCGGGGACACGCGACGTGACGCGCCGACGCGCTAAGGGCGCCACTAAGAGCCACACTTTAGCCTCCGCCAAGATTTCGCACCGCCTGCCTTTCTGCCGGAGCTCCAATCTTTTTTTCGACAGACTCGACCGCGCAACCAAAGCACGCGCCTCACCCGACGGTTCACGCAGACCTCAGCTCAATCGACACTCGGGTCTGGCAAACATCATGTCGTTCGACCAATCGATTGGCGCTCCATTCACATTGGCCTCGCTGTCCAGGCCCATCGGCTCCACCAACGGCCATGTTCACGCCTCTGGAGTATGCAGCATTAGCGGCATAAAGAAGAGAAAGCGCACCGAAATCGCAGTTGGCGTCGATGGAGAGGGTATATCCATATACAGCGTAGGTACTTTTTTATTGCGACATGGGATATGCGCTCAACTCTTTTCCAGCTCCAAAATCCTCAACTCGTCACTTCCTATGCGCTCCCTCCGAGCGCAACCTTCGCGGCCGCCCCATACTCGATCTATCGCAAGGGCTCCTCGAAGACTTCGACACAACGCTTTACCTACGTTTCCCTAGCCGCATCGTCACCGGCCGAGAAGCCCTCACTCGTGTGCTTCCACGATAAATCGTCTGGCGACCACACCGAGACCAGCAAGACCTCGTATACGCCCTCCGATGTTGCGCGCGTCTCGACACTAGACTCGCTTCCTGTCGCACCTGGCGGCTCAGCTAATGATGCGACGCACGATATACTAGCGACTTTCGACAACGGAGATGTCATGTCTCTGTCAGCCGATCTCCAGGATGTCAGATGGGCCGTAAATTTGAAGGTCCTCCTACCGTCCAGAGGCACCGACGTGGATATCGAGCACATTACGCTCGCCAGTGCCAGGTCGGTCATACGAGGGCTCCTGCGAAGCCGACAAGACATCGCTACCATCTTGGATCCCACTCCAGACGAAACCTCGGATCTTCTTGACCTTGTTCAGGTTCTCTGCATCGTCGAACGTAAGGCAGACAAAACGAGGACACTCACCCTTGTTCAAGTACAGCCAAGATCCGTCGATCTTACTACGAACCAGCTCTCGCCGCTGAAACACCTAGCATCGTTGGACCTACCGCAACCAAAGGCCTCAGCCGCACGGGTTCCTACATCTCAGATCGCTCTATACCCTTCCAGTGGTGCCCTTCACATTTTCGCAAGCGGGAACCTGCTATCTTACGACCTGTCTGGGACCGTACCAAAGCTCCAGTCGGAATTTGCGCTTCCCGGGTCGGCTGTCGACTCTTTCCTCAGAACATCCCAAGATATCATCTTCACCACGTCGCAAAATACATGCCGAGTGTTCGATGTCAAGTATAACTCTTTGCAAGCTGTGCAATCCATGAACCCTAGTCCATCCACATCAGAGTCTCTTAGCCCATCGAAGAAGAGGAAGCACACGCAGCCCGAGAGCGACGAACAGAAGGTTTCACCATGCAGCCTCGTGGCGTACTACGCCGACACTGGACTGATTGTTGCTGCTCGAGAGGACGAGATATTTGGTATGCAGTATGGTGGAGCAGGATCACGCAAACGGACCAAGACCGAAGGTACTCTTCTTATCGACGCTCTTGGCAAGGGAATCGCACCAGAATCGACTCTCAGCACAGGCGACGCTCAGAAATGGCAGGAGCGAAAATGGAAGCTCAACAAGTACGCCACAAGGGGTAAGATTGCAAAGTTCGAGCGATCCTTTGCGACAGACCTGGGTATCGAAGTTGAGTCTGCCGATGCAGCTCAGAAGCATGAGAATGAGGTAAACGGCGGACCCTTGACGAACGGAGGGGGCCCAAGTCTTCCTGACGAGGATGCTATGGTCGTTGACAAACTCGACGATGAAACTTCCAAGGATGACCTGCCCAGATGGACAATTCCCAAAACCATTCCTGGCCACCAACGACAGCAATACCGTCAGTATGCACTATACGCATTGAGTAAGATCTTCTATTGGGTAGATGCCACAGAAGAGGAATCACAAGGACAGTTGAGGGTCGGCTTCTTCCCACCCAACGTTTTTCAGTGGCTTCTACAGATTGGACATCTCACCAAGGAGTCCATCCGCCGATCCCTTTTCGAAGGAACAAACGAGCAAATGCAGTCAGCTTCCGCTATCGTGGATGGGGATATCGTCAAGGCTTTGGTCGAATACGATCCCGATCTGCACATCCTCTCGGCAGTACTCAATCACACTCAGTTCCTCCCAGTGGGCGAGGTCGTTCAAGCTATCAAGCTTCTTATCCAAAGTATAGATGACGAGCCAAAGGACAATGAAGCAACAAAGCTTTTGATGAATGGCACCAATCCATCAGACGACGACATGGACCTGGACTTTGCTACCGAGCTCGAAGCAGCCTCGCACGAAATCGATCATGCCTTGTCGGTGCTTGACCATGGTCTGTTGACGCGCAGCCACACACTGCGACCCGCTCTGATCCGGCTCCATACCTTCTCAGCACCAATAGTCAGTGCAACTCTTCGCTCAATGTTGCCGCGGCGAGACCTCGAATCGCTGATTCGCCTTTTGCATCTGGAATTGAAGAACGGTGGGTGGTCTTCGCCACTGGGCTTTGTAGAGACAGAGTCGCCTCATGCTGAGAACTCAGGCGATGACCCTGACGACCATGCAGTCGCCATCATTGCTTCTCTTCTCTCTACCACTCTCGACGCCATTGGCGCAGGAGCTTGGTTGGCTTCTGTCGGCACAGTCTCCGCCTCGGAAACCGGAGAAGACATGCTCAAATCGTTAAACCGGGATGCATCTGTAGCACTGAGTGGTTTCTTCGAAGCTCACTTCATACGTGGTCTACTTGCAGAGTTCCTACGCTACGCTTCCACTGTACCGACATCGAAGAAGCCCTCTAACAAAACTTTGGAGGTACAAGGCAAACCATTCGGTGTCGCGAGCAAGCTTAGTGGAGAGGAAGATTTGCCTATGCTGCCGCTTGGAGCCAAGGCAGACCAGGGCGTGGAGAAGATGAAGAGCGGCAAGGGAGGAAAGAAGGAGCCGCGAAGCAAGAGAGAGATGGGTATGCTGATCAGCAAACGCGTGCCGAAGTACAGCTTCGAGCGCATTGTTGTATAGGGCATTGCTTTTGAAGTTTGTATATAGCAGCATATACCACAGATCGTACGAACTACCAAGCATCTTCTTTTCGGCGTTACCAATACAGATAGCCCGGACGAATCTGATAAACCTTCGCGTGCCCATGCCGCATGCCGACTTTGCGACATTGCGACATTGCAATTACAAGCGGATGATAACCCAGACCGAAGGCCCGAATGGCTGGGAAGTCCCTGTGACTAAACTTTAGATCTGTCTTAGCGCGCGGCTTGGCCACTCACATCACGGACCATGACGTTGACCGCGCGCGTGAAAAATGCCGAACGCGGCGCGACTCTCGGGTGCGGAGGATCGGTGGCCCCTATGGGGATTCGTTGGGCGATCTAGCCCTGAAGGACTCTCAATAATGTCTTAACTGTTGCTGGATTCATCTCTCGCTACCTGCTCATCTACCTGGGTAGTCGATTGAACTCACAGCGCCACAATGGCGTCTACCGCGACGGGCCGGAATGTTGCGGATAAGGAAGAGGTGGATTCCACGAACACAGCAGGGGAATCACCACGCGGCGAGCAGGGGCAGTCGAACGATTACCACCAAGATGCGACACTCACGGAGGACAGAACAGATGGAGAGAAAAAAGAGAAGAAGCCGTCAAAACTCAAAGCAGCGTGGACTAAACTCGGTCTGGATCCGGGTACGCTCATGATGATGGGCAAGGCGGCACTGCCACCGACAATTTGCCTTGCGATGTATCAGGCGACGCCTGTTGCGCAATACTTCACTACGTTGGGCTACCTCACGGCTATCATCAGTATCCTGGGATTCTGTATCATGCCGCGCGCAAAGTTTATTCAGACGATGACGATGAACATATTGGCGACTTGTATTGGTTCGGCTCTCGCCATGCTCATGGTTTGGTCGGGAGTCAAAGCCCGACAACATACGACTGTACCTGGAGCACCACCACAACGTTACAACTCTTCGCAGTCGGCAGTCCTTGGAGTGTGGCTTTTCTTCCAAATTTATGTCATCAATGCTATGAAAGCGAAGTTTCCGCAACTGGCATTTCCAGCGATAATTTACGCAATTCAGGTTAATGTTGCAGCGACTAATGGCTTCTTGTTTCAAACAGTACCACAATGCGAGTCCTTCATCAAAAGACTTCTAGTGGCATTCTTGACTGGTTTCGCGATCGCAACCGGAGTGGCCCTATTCATCGTTCCTGTCACATCGCGTAAGGTGGTGATGAAGGAAGCAGCGGGATACATTGGCTTATTGCGAGGGACTCTGGGCGCACACAAGAACTACATCCACAGCCTGGAAACAAGCGACATGTTCGGCGAAAAGTACGTGCCTGAGGACGGAGATGGGAAGAAGAAGGCGAAACCCAGGCCGGAAGTAGCGGCCATCAAGAAGATGACTGGTTCACTGCAGGCGTTGCACGGCAAGCTTACCGCGGACCTACCGTTTGCAAAAAGAGAGATCGCTTATGGAAAACTGACGCCAGACGACCTCGAGGGCATGTTCAAGAATCTGCGGGCAATCATGCTTCCAATTTTGGGTCTCGGCTCCGTGATGGATCTTTTCGAGCGGGCGGCTGAAATCAACCACTGGGATGGACAAGAAGACGAACATGACGAGGAGATCAGAAGGCAAACCGTTCAGGAATGGAACAACATGTTTCAATTTGTTCATGAGCCGTTCAACAACATCTTCCAGGCTCTCGATGATGGACTTGCACACGTTATGTTCAAGTTGCAGCTGGCCAAGCCGCCGAAAAAGAAGAAGGGCCAGAACCAGGACGACGCTGAGGCGAAGGGTGACGCTATCAAACCAGGAGAACCGGGCTTCGCAGAATACATGCAGAAGCAAGCCGACGCCTTCTTCAGCAGGAAGGAACCTACTTTGCGCCATTGGGTCGAAACCAAGGGTATCAAGCTTCGCGATGATTACTTCTCGTCTCCATCAGCACTTGACGAGGAAACCCTGAAGCTCATGCCGAGCATCACCACACGAAATCGGGACCAACGACAGCTCTTCATGGTGCTCTACGTCATGTTCCTGCTCAACTCCATAAGCCGGTCCGTGATCGAATTCGTCAAATTCGCAGACGAGCGCGATCAAGCGACTTTGAAAAGCAAGTTCATCTGGCCTGGTGGACGGCGTTTCAAGAAATGGGCGAAGAGTATCTTCGCGAGCCAGGACTCCACCTCCGACGACGAGACAACAGTTGCAGGTTTCGACAGGAGCAACACGACAGTTTATATGGGTGAAGCGTACCAGGAGAAGAAAGACCCCGAGCATCTACCGCCTACAAACGCGTGGCAGAAGTTTGGCAATGGTGTACGTGGCATCTCACGTTTCCTGCGGAGTGACGAGTCGGCTTTTGGTTTCCGTGCTGCGTGTGCGACGATGAGTATAGCCGTTGTCGCTTTCCTTCGTCCAACGCAACAATTTTTCGTCGAGCAGCGCTTGGTCTGGGCGTTGATCATGGTGGCCATCTCTATGACTCCGACAGCTGGTCAATCAATTTTCCAGTTCATACTCAGGATCGCAGGTACCGCCGTCGCAATGATAGTAGCCTGGCTCATTTGGTACATTCCTGGGCAACAAACTGCGGGCATCCTGGTTTTCCTTTGGTTCTTCGTCGCAATCGGCTTCTACATCCCATTAAAACGCATGGATCTCGTCATCGTTGGAATGATCAGTGTGGTCACTGCTACTATGATCGTCGGTTATGAACTACAAGTTCGCAAGATCGGAGAACAAGCCGCGACAGCGACAACAGGTCAGCCTGCATACCCGATCTACACACTTGGCCCCTACCGTCTTGCCACCGTAGTGGGTGGTCTAGCTGTCGCCTTCTTCTGGACTATCTTTCCTTACCCCATCACCGAGCACTCTGCGCTCCGACAAAAACTTGGTGGCGCGCTATACCTTTCCGCAAATATGTATAGCATCATGCACGAACAGGTCATGGGCCGCATCCGCGGTGAGCTAGGCGGCGACGAAGAGACTGACAAAGAGAGTCCAGGCTATCAGCTCGTCAAGGCTCGGAATAAGGTCTTCGCCAAACAGATGCTCACCCTGCAAGGACTGAAGATGCATGCCGGATTCGTCAAGTGGGAGTTCCCACTTGGAGGCAAGTTTCCCAAAGAAGAGTATGAGAAAATCATTGGTTACGTCGAGAAGTACGTATTACCCCCAACAATGCAGCACTGTAATGGCTTGAGCATGACTAACAACACACATCAGCATCGTGAACTACACGGCCCTCCTAGGCTACGCCTCCCAAGCCTTCACCCACCCCTCCCTTAACCACCAATCCGCCGACCCCACATCCCCCGAAACAGAAGAAGCCGCCTTCCCCGACCACCACTCCGCGCAATGGTTCAACGACTTCCGCCGCGTCATCCTCTCCGCAAAAGTAACTTCACATGAGATTACCTCATTACTCGCAATGCTCTCTTCCAGCGTCACAAATGCACAGCCCTTGCCTCCTTATCTACACGCCCCACCAGGTGGGCAGCTCAGCCGGAAACTAGAAATGGTAGACCCTGAGATCTTGAGCTTGAGACACATCGCCGAGCCAGGATACGCCGCGTTCGCAGTCATGAGCATAAGTACGAGGTGCATACATATGGATATTGAACGGTTGTTGAAGGCTGTTAAGGGACTGGTGGGCGAGTTGGACTTCTCATTCCATGTCGTTAGTACGAAAGATGCTGCGAGTTCGGATGAGACGCTTGTTAAGAGGAGTTCCAGGAAGCAGGATTAGACATGTTATAGATTGTAGAGCTTTTGTAATGTTTGGTAATGGGAAAGAGATTCACACGATTGTATATAAGGTTGGGCAACGTTGGTTATGACAAAAGTGTAGTAGTAAGAGGGGGTATCCCCATCCAATACGAAGAATCTAGCTAAAGAGTGACGAGAAGAGTTCATCGCCAACCGTGTTACACCACATCACCTCTCTCTCGTCAACGGGCATCGGAGTGTTGGACCCGGCGCCGCTGACTCAAGAAATCCGAATATCGACCAGAGAGCACTAAACCATTCTCGCAAAAACGCATGCCATATCATCCTCAAGTTTGAGCAAGAATTTACTGGCAGGTACCAACAGCCCTCGCGGAGAAGATGGGCTTGTTAGGACCGAAAGTACCGCAACGACCAGTGACGTCGTAGACGATGCTGTTGACGCTCGAGCAAGTGTTGTCAGAGTAGGCAACGACTAACACAATCAGATTAGCTCTCATCATCCCGAAACCAATTGCTTCATTTCAGGTAACTCACGAGTGCAACCAGCAGGCAGCGCCGGCAAGTCGGTAGGGAGGATCAACGCGGAGTCTGTGTTTCCGCTGAAGATGGGCGAGGTAGGGAAGCAGCTGCCATCGGCGGGGATGTAAGCGGTCGTGACGGCGATGCCGGTGTTGCAGCCTGGGCCGGAGTAGAACTTGAGGGGAATGGTGTCGAGGCGCTTGCTCATCTCCGTTGGGGCGGCGTTGATGCTGACGGCAGCGATGAGGAGGGCGATGGTGGTTGTGAACTGCATTTTGAAGGGTGTGTGGGATTGGTTTGGTTGAGTGAAGTGTAGTTGAAGGTGTTAATGATACTGTTGTGATGGAGACTATTTGATGGGTAGACGCTGTATTATTTATACTTTGTCGTGAGGCTCATTTCCTGGGCAAGGTATGCCTAGCTGTTCACAAAGTTTCGTTAGCCTACCTCTGCTGACACGAAGGATGCCTCTTCGCACGGACGTCTCAACGAAGTTTGCATGGCCTATGGATCTCTTGAAGATGTTGGTGTGAATAGATACGAGGGCTGACGTCTGGCGATGTCGGCCTACGGCGCAGGTATCATGGTGCATCAAGCTCCCACATCCGACCCTGCGAGAGATCATTGGTCGTCCACTGGATAGGATTTTGGGAGGTATGGCTCCAGGCCAAAAGAGGCGTTATTTTCAACACCTATGCGACTAGGCTGATGCTTTCGCGATGCTGTTGAGAGCTTGGGATGCACACTTTCGCCTCACCGCCAGTAGTCAATCGTGTTGGTGGTGAGCCAAACTTGTTCCTCCTTCTCTTCTAGAAGGCTGATTCACCCTCGTGGGTAGGCCATATCGTTCTTAGCGCATCTTACTGTGCAATAGTTGTGTGACCTATAGGTACATGCTACTGCTCAGCTCACTCAGAAAGCGCAACACCAATTGCGAACACGTAACAGCATCCGGATTAAGGCCGCGATGAGTCGAACGGATCGTCGGGTCGACTGGTACCTGTTGGAGGTAATACAACAGTATGCAGATGGGAGCTGCCAAGGTTGAGGAGGATGAAAGGGCATGCATCGTCTGCATGATCCTGCTGCACCGCATAGTCGGATATGTGGACCTTGTATTCCTTGATGCCATTACAGTCTTCGCAGCGAGGTACTTTGTGAGCAACGCCTGAGTACGCTGATGAGGTGACAGACGCTGATGTTGTGGAATTTGATGTTCTCATTGCTAAGAAAAGGCCGTGAGCTCTCGATCCGATGTGTTGCTCGATCGTCCGTAAGCATAACCCGACCGGTCACTGGATGTGGCGCATCCCGAGTGAAGCTGACATGCAAGTGATGTGACCAACCTGCATTTCCAAGCAGAAGTTCTGACGTTCGTTTGTCTGACACCAGCGATCGAGTCGATGATATGTTTCTTTTCTCGTGTGAACCTGGTCTGCTACCCTAGTAAGCGATCCTGCGAGGCTGGACGTCCCGTGCCGCTGACAAGGTCTAGGCTTTCCGAAGGGGCCGCATGGTAGCGGAAGCGCTAGGTTCCTTGGTGAGCCGTACGGAAGCGGTGTTGGTGAGATGGGCTAAGCGCGAACGATGGCCTGCAGGAGGTGGTGCAGGCGTAGATGAACTGTAGTAGGGAGGCCATGATGCGGATCGAGACCGATCATCAAGATACTATCTCATCTGCATCTCTTCTGTACATCAACATGGTCGTCCAGGCAGTATTCGTCTGTATCCAAGCACCAGTCGTAAAATAGTCCATTGTATTATCTTACCACTCAGATCAGCTACCGCCACCCAGAGACTATAGGCTAAATGCGATGCGATGCAGGACCGGCCCACGGACTTCCTCGCTTCGAAACTGCAGCTCGGAGATGCTAACGCGAACCGATGACTTCGTACCACGGACTTTTGTTGGTCGGGAGGTGAGCATCATGCCCGGTGACGCCAGAAGAACAGATGGTGGCTTCAAACCATCTTTCCATTGGCAGTTTCCATCCACATTGCTCCAGGGTCGAGCGAGGTGGAAAGCAACAGCAGAAGGCTTGCGAGTCGCCAACACCCTACTGTCTGGTTGCTTTGAAAACAAGGTTGACTTTGCGCGATGAGGTGGGAGATGAAGGTCCAAGTGGCTGATGTGGAAACGAGGCAATCTCGCTGCTTAGTCATGTTTCAGCGGGGCTGGGCCTGCCTCCAAGGTTCGCTTTCGACTACGCACCCGACTCCCAACACCAGCCCACAACATCCGCATAACGAGATACTTGACACCTTTCTAGCACTGCTATTTACCCCCAATCTGCATAAACACCATAAGCACCGCCGCGTACGCCGCAGTCGCTGCCACCACCTCGAAAGGCCTATTGATGGTCGCGCCTGTCCCTAGTAAAGTGAAGAGGATCACGAACCCCGTAATAATCCCCAGCCGATCGTTGTTGTTAGGAACATTCTGCATCCACCATAAAGGCGCAAGTAGCATAGAAAGTCCTAAGGCTATTATGCTGAGTGTGGTGAAGCTCTCGAAGGCATGGTCGCTAGAGTAGGATGTAGCGTCCGATTGGACATGCAGGTCCTCTACAAACTTCGCCTTGAAGATTCGCCATGTGTGTAGGGAACGACACGCCTCTAGCCAGCGGCCTAGTGGTGGACGAACTCTTTCATTGATCGATATTAAATCGCTCTTGTGTTTGACGAAACGTGTTTCTGACGCGGTGATGGCACCACGCTTCAGCCAGTTTTCGGCATAGTCCACTTGACGGGATTCTGCTCGTGGGCGTTTACGTATCTTGGAGAATGCGTCGATAAATTGATCTGTCGCGGTTAGTATTGTCGCGTTGTAGAACCCTTCGGTACTTACTGTAATGTAGGAGTAGACACGAGAGTTCGTTCATGATTTGGAAGCGGTCCTGTTGATATTTCTCATCCCATTTGAAGCTGGAGTTTTTCCCCTTTTCGTCCTGCTCATTCGCCTCATGAATCTCTTCCAATGTTCGTTCGAGCTCCGAGATCCGGTACTGCAAGTACGCTATTGTTGTCGCATTTAGACTCTCAAAGCGCCGAAACACAAAAAAGTCGTCGTCTGAAGCCATCCACTTTCCAAACTCTTTGTAGCCCTCATACTTCCAGGCTTTCACGAACTTTTCCTTATCGGTTACCGATGCGTTACTAAGGGTACTTGCCGCTGGAGCGAGGTTCTGCATAGGAACCTGAGTAAACGTAGTGGGTATGTGTGCACCAGGACCTGGCAGTATAGGATCGCGAGTGCGAAATATATTTGCCATGATGCCCGTCTGTCGCTGTTATCGACTGCCCGGGCCAACACATTACTTATTTGTTTGATGACGGTGACACAAGGCCGGGCTGAGCTGCACACCCCGCCCGTCCAGGCAGTGCCATGTTACATACTACACTTCTCATTGGCCGCCACCTAAGTCAAAATATGCACAGCCGCAAACGGAAAGCTGAAGAGGAGACCGCATGAAATACGCAGCGCGTGCATACACTGTTCATGTCATTCGTCTTACGCTTGACCGGAACGCGACGCCACTGGTTCGCGCGTGCCGTCTCTGCGCCACATGTCTCCAGCACCGGGAAAGCTCACTCTCCAGAGCCTCACTGGAAGCGACCTCTTAATTTAATATGCATCTGACTTGCTGCCTCGCGGGGCAGATAAGAGTCCTCCTCCAGCATCGCTCAGCCCTGCTTGAAACACTTCGTCACGATTTACCTGACCGGAAATTATCACGATCGCATCGACTCAGACTTTATTGATCGCCCTGATAAGCTCAGCTGGTCTCAATCACATAGCCCGTTCACACGGCCCGCTCCGTGGGCCAATAACAAGTCATGAACCCGTGGAAGTCTAGCAAGGCCAAACTCGAAGCTGTCCAGGCATTTCGGCATGCCGACCAGAGGCATGATAGTAGATACGCCCCACAAGCGGAACCAGAAGATCCACCCGACCGAGCTTTTGCTCCTGTTCGACCTGGTGAAGGGCAGAACTCGTCTTATTACGGTGGCTGGCAACCTCAACCGCCGATGTCAGCACAGGGCTATTACGCAAACCCTACGCCAGCCCTTCCATATCCAGGCTACCATCAATCACCACAGGCCCCAACACAGAGCCTTGGTACACAACAGCAGTATGGGTCACCGCAGCAGGGTTATGAAAGCCAACAGCAAGGCTATAGCAATCCTCAGCAGCCATCCTCACCCCCACAAGGTCAGGCCTCCTTCGCGCCCTTGAATGCAGACGGGAGTTCGTACCAGAGCAACCAAAGCTATCATCATAACAGTAATTACGGGCCGCCGCCTGCACTGAACGCCTCACCGGAGGCAGGTTTCCAGTCGTCGCCACCAACGCACAGTAGTCCAGAGCCACCCCAACAAGCTCACACTCGCCTACCACAACGTAGCTTAACATACGACAATCCATACGAGCAGCCATTCGCCCCGCCCCAGCGCATACAAACTGAGCCTCCCCAAGTAGCCCCACACAATTGTTACGAACATGGACTTGGGTGAGTAAATGGGTCACTGTTTCAATCGTCAGTGCTAATATGCGGCATGTAGAATTCTTGGAAAGTGTACACGATGTGGATATAGGGAATGGTAATGTACTATGTTTTCGGGAGAGAAGAAAATGGCACTACTGTCCATACAACATGCTATGTGTCATGCATAATGATCGGTGAGACGACTTAAGGGAATGTTAGCGGCTTCAAGGATCCCGCCTGCTATGTTGAAATTTCCGGAGTGAAGATTTCCCTCAGCATGAACAATTCCTTGATCAAAAGTCGAGCCCTTCGTATTATTACCAACGGAAGCTATTGGGTACGATGAATCCCTATCTGGTTGGCCATATCTTCCTCTCTATGACCTTAGGGGATGAAGGGCGGGCCCAAGAGATATGTTACGAGAGCATGAGTTTGCTGTTCCCAGGCCATAACCCAAAACAGACCGAAAGCTGCAGGCGTCCGTTGTGTGACCATAGCAAAGTATGCTCCCGTCTGATCACGGAATATCGGCAATCGTGCTTGCGACATCAGCCTGAGTTTGCAAAACCATCAAGCGACCGATGCGCCAGCTGTCGTATTTGTGGTGATCCGTTGATTGCTGCCAGTCTAGGATTCATACTTGTCCAGATTCCCCGATAATGGAAGGCGAGACAATGCGCAAGTTCTTCTCGAAACGCAAATCAGCTACAAGCCGTGTAGATCTCCGCGACGGTGAGCGAGACATTTCGGCGGCGCCAGCACCCACTGAGCAAGCATTGGTGTTATCGTCAGCAACAGAGACAAGGTGAGTGACACTGATGTTCACTCGAGCAGGCTCTGACGATACAGTATGCCAACCGAAGCAGCCAAGGCCTACGGGCCACTGGTACTGAGCGACCCCGATAAGGCTGCAGTGGAGTAGGTACTGAAGGCGTCGCTACTGCTGGAAAACCTGCTAATCTCTAGCAGTATCATCCTTATCCATGGTCTTGGTGGAGATCGAACAGGAACCTGGACAGAGCGTGCGGCGGATGACAAACAAAATCCGTGCTTCTGGCCACGTGATCTACTTCCTGTCAACCTTCCCGACGCGCGCATCATCACATGGGGCTATGCCGCAGCAACGATCAAGCCGTTGAATGTCGTATCGATTGCAAACCCAACGCAGCACGCGGAGAAACTCTGCTCAGAGCTAGCAAGCCTTCGAGTTGGTGTCCTTGATCGCCCGATCCTTTTCGTCGCTCATAGCATGGGGGGTATAGTAGCTAAGAAAGCCCTTCTCAATTCGCAAGACTCCAATGTCGACAATATCGCTTCTTTGGTAGATGATACGCGCGACATCATCTTCATGGGTACACCTCATTGTGGCTCAGAGTTGGCTAATGTTGCCTCGTTCCTCACCAAGATCGTCCGCATCTTCCACTCAGTCAACTCTTCGATGGTCGAGGAGCTTCAAAGCCAGAATGCGCAGCTGCAAGACACCGATCGACGCTTCCATCAACTTCTTGCTAAGCATGTAGGAACAAAAAGTGCCATAGAAGTATGCTGCTTCTGCGAGAGCGTCCCTTTGTCCGGATTCGGTATCATTGTTCCAGATTACTCGGCCGCTCCGCCGGGGTATGAGCGTATCGTTGTGGATGCGAATCATGTGGAGATGACGAAATTCTCGAAAAGAGAGGACCAGACATACAAGAATGTACTGGCGGAGCTGCGGCGAATGATCGAGTTGACGAAGGAGCAGCGCAGAGATGAGAGCGACCCTAGCATGCAGAGAGGCGATGTCACCCACGTTGGTAACAACGATCGAGGTGCCTTGGCCAACTACGGCAGTCAGACCATCGGTACGGGTAATGCAGGCTCAACCCATTACGGTAAGTGATTCTTGTGCCATGGGTGGTTGTTGCGCTGATGAATCCAGGAAATATCAACGACTTCCGGGGTTCCTGAGCCGGCCTTCGGTTTCCGTTGGTGGGAAATAAAGGATGTGTTTCGGCGTGTCGTAAGGCGTTGGCGTGTAGTCGTATAGCGCATTCGAAATGGTCACACCAGCTCGATATCCACAAGCTGATCTTTGACATCTTTCCACACCTCTCCCTGCATAGCCCCATGTATATATGCATCGCCCACCACCTCCCATGCCCTTCCTATCTCTTCATCGGCAGTGTGCCGCTTTGACTCCCGTAACACATAAGGAACATTGGCACCCTGCAATAGCCATACTGTGTCTTCGCGTTCACAGCTAGTCGGCACCAGACCCAAGAAGCCATTTTTGGTCCTAGCCAAGCGCCGAAATTGACCATTTCTATTGATTGCACCCCCGAATTTGTGGTCTTGCCAGTCACGCTCAATTTCTGCCTCGCTAGCTGTGGGCCCGAGGCGGGCTATGCGATCGCTGATGGAAGACAGAGAGGAATCTGGGCGATGAAAATCGGCAATGTAAGGACATTTGAAATTGAATGGAGGACGGCGCGGATATGTGCGGCTGGTGTCCATTTGTGTCAGGTTCGCCCCGCAAGTGCAGCTTTGCTGCTCCGTATGTCGGACATCAGCCCGAGATATCGCGAAGCCAGAATTATCGCCTTCGGAGAGCATGTCTATGTCGCGGAGGATTGGAGAAGCTATACTTTCGTAACCCGTTGTCGTCTCTTCATTATTAGGGTAGTAGAGCAAGCGATGGAGACAGCGGACGACCGAAGCGCACGTTAGTCGCTTCACCACGTGTTTGAGACGGTCCATGTCGGGTTGGTGGTCAAGAGGCAAATGACCAATATCGTTGGCGACCAGTGTGGTGGTTAATGCTTCGCATCGTGTTTGTCCTGTAGACCGATAAAATTTCGGAAGGTTTAGTGTAAGCGCGCTCCACCGAGGATCGAATTGCAAGCGCTTTCCGTGCCATGCCCATGATCCGGCAAGCTCCACAATACAGTCAATTTTGAACCCACGAGCTCCGAGCACGCGGTCATCCGTAGGCACAATCGTCAAGGCGTCCAATCTCGACCCCGAAGTGGCATTGTAGCCCACGCTTGCGGAGGCGAGCTCTGATTGATAGGCCTTGTCTTCAAACTCTCCGACCCAAGTTGGAAACCCTGGAAACTTTCGTACAGATAGGTCGGTAACCCAACTCAGGCAGTTGAGGTTCTTCGTCTCATCAATGAGACAACGCAGCGCTTCGACATAGACCTGCTCTGGGCTCTTACTGTAATCGGCAGTTAGCCCAAAAGCCCCGCGAGGTACTATGCCTAACAATGCAAAGACCTTGTCTTTGGGATTTTCGCACCCGGTCATGCGGGCCAAAGTCAGGATTTGCTGAAAAGTAAAAGGCAATGTCTTCTCTTGCGTTGTAGGCGGGTTTAGCAATCGCCACCGATTGTGGAATAGCTCCAGAATGGCCTTTTCATGGTCGTGGTGACGGTTGTTCTTAATGGGGAGAATCAGTGCTTGCCCAACTTTTTCGTGAAATCGATGCTTCTTGATCCATGCAACCAGTAGCGCGACTCTTTGAAGTTCTGAAAAGTCCAAGATGTCCGTACCGCACAACATACGGATGTGTCGAGCAAGCATGACTTCCTGGAGTACCCAGCAGCGAAAGAAATACTTCCTTGCGAGAAAACGAGTCAAGTTTTCAGATTTTTCGGCAGAGATCGAGCTAACTTTTGCTTTGTCGTCTTGTTCCAACGCCTTCTCCATGAAGTCTGTGTATGTTGAGCATTGCTGATCCTCTTGCATATCGTCAAAACATTGCAGTTTGTTGAGGCGCCGCATGAGTGGTATAGCTTGCTCACTATCCTCATCCGCGGGGCCCAGCCACGATATGACCAATGAAGCTTTGCTGTAGATCTGAGCCATCAAGCCAACCTGCGTGTTTAGCTCCTGGATATCGTCTTGATTGATACATAATTTGTCCTAGCGATCAACATCTACAGTTAGTCAGGATACCATATTTGCTTCGCACGGGGGGTTACGAACAATCCAGAGGTATTGCCCCTGGCATTCGACTTCCTGACACTTTACGCTCACCTTGCAGATAGCCCTGAGCGCGCACTCCAAGTTGGCCGTAACATTGACGCGCAGTCCATTGCAGATGATGATCACTTCCTGCACCCATGTTGTGGACTTCCCTTCCTCGAACCAGTACCGATACAGTGGGTCGCCCCAAGTGTAAGACAACGCGTGGAACTTCGGGGTATTGTGCTCAAGATCAGTCAGGTGGAGCGTGCATGTGATAGGTGCGTCGTTGTTCTGTACTGGGTGAAGCTCGATGACGCGGATCGATGTCGCTGTCGGCAAGGGAGTGTACAGGTCTGGATGTCGCGACCGTGGCGCGTCCATGGTGCACATGTGGGGCTGCGAACTAGCTCTAGTTTCGCTGGAGCACAATCGGCCCGACAGCACTATATAGCATCAGTAGTGACCTTGGCACAAAACAGCAGTAGAATACCTTGAAGAGAACTTCTGGATCTCGTTCCATCGTTGTCGTGCCATTTGGAGCAAAGTTGAAATTGTAATTGAACCTTGGAAAGATCCAAAGTGAGGCAACGCATTATCGTGCTGACCAAGACGCTAACCACATTGGATCGGTTGGGCAGCCGTGGAAACGAAGAACTGCACTCTGCGAGGAGCACCGCGACATGGCACGACTAAATGAATATCAACGAAGAAATATATTATATCGTCCAACGTAATGCTACAGACTTTTTGTCAGACTGCGCCAGAAACACCCATCGATGCAATGCGAGTTTTTCCCTCTCATCTGCGCACCTACGCATCATCACCCTTCTCCGCCTTTTTCTCCCTCCACTGCTCCTCAAGTGCCTTAACCTTCTCTACACCCTTCTTATTCCCCACACTGCTCTCCCACTCAGCCCACTTCTTGAACACACTCCGTATCCTCGAGGCCTTTCCGACCTTGGTCATACGCTCGAACAGATCCCGGACGTTCTCTGCGCTGCCATGGCTCTGCTCCAACATGAGGTACATATCCCAGACATCGCCTTTCTTGGAGAAGGTGTCGACAAGGCCCTCAAAGATGGTGCGGCCGCGTTCGGCATCGCCGTTGGGGCTCTTGAACTCGAGAGCGGCGAACTTTTGTGTCAGGTAGCGGTGTTGCGTTGATGCAACGGATTGGGTGGCGCGTTGAAGGAGAGCGCGAGCTCGTGTGGGGGAAGGTGGCTGTACGACGTCCATCAGGAAGGCTGCATATGAGAGCCAGAATTGAGGGTCGGGTGTGAACGACTTGTTCTTCATCATGGATTGGTAGAGGTTGTCCGCTTTCTGTTCTGGTATTAGCAAACTTCGCAAGGATATGGGGATATAGCGGTACTTACGTCGATCTTGCCTGATGAAATGTAGATCTTGATCATGCGCTCATGCACTTCGCGGGCATCGTTATTCTGGCACGCCTCTTTGAAGACTGTGTCCATAGCATCGTCGCTAGCGAAGTCGTTCTCAAGATGGAGAAGAGCGGTCCACACGTCAAGCTTCTCTTTCTCTTCCCTGGGGTTGATGGTCGCCAGTGCGCGACGGGCGACCTGGCGTGCCTTCTCGATCTCGTTGAGTTCGCGTTGGAAAACCATGTATCGAACCCACATTTCTGCGCTGTTGGGCTGTCCCAGGAGCAAGCGCTCGTAGTCGGCAACGGATTGCGGTCCATAGGCATCGAGATCACCAGTGCGGTCCTCTTTGATGGTAGCCTTCTTACTCTTCTTCTTTTTCTTAGGGGCCTCGTCGTCGGAATCAGGTTCTGCGGCACCCTTTTGCTCATCGAAGTCAAGAGTAGCACCTGTCCAGTCGAAGCCAGAAGTGCTAAGTCCCTGTGTTGCCGCTTTTGGCGCATCATCGTCAGACTCGTCGTCTGAGACTCCTGCGTCTGCAAGCTCGATATCATCGTCGCTATCAGCACTCTTGACGCTCCTCATGTCTACGTCATCGAGCTCGATACCGCCATCTGAGTCACTTCCTTCTAAGGCCTCAACATCCGAGGCATCCTCCATGTCTTCATCCTCGTCTTCGTCGTCACCCTTGACTTCAGAGTATTTCAAGCTGAAGCTGATCTTTCGGGTCTTTGGATCGACCTTCAAAACCTTGGCTTTCACGGCGTCATCTTTCTTGTACATTTCCTTGACCTTGTCCTTGTCGACAGTAGTGTCGGCTAACTGAGAGATGTGGCAAAGACCGCTGACGTTGTTCGAGTCGTCAACCACCAGGAAGACACCAAAGTCTTCTACATGCCGGACCTTAGCAGCAACAACCTGACCAGCCTTCAGATCGCTGAACTCGACCGGCTCGGTGTAGGTTCCTTGGACGTGAGAGGCCTTCAAGCTCAGCTGTGGATTGCGTTGGTCTGGCTTGTTCGAGATGACTTTGCCAGTGACGAGTTGGTCGACATGGAAAGCAGACTTCCAATCCTTGATGTACTCGTCTGAGAGGTGGCTGACACGAACGTAGGCTTCGACATGCGGCCCTAGACGGACGTAGATACCATTGTTGGCGACGTGCTTGATGAATCCACGGACAACCTGATGCACTTTGAGCTGATCCCTGTCCTTGATCTCGGGGTCTTTGATCGGTAGCGAAGAGCTCAATACCCTAGAAGGCCGAATAGACAATCCCAGCTTCTTGTTAGGAAGGTCTATGTCGATTACACACACGCGCAAGACGTCGCCGACTTTGAACTCGCTAGGCTTGGCCTTGTCGTAGTCGTCTGCCAACTGCTCTTGGAATATGGGTGCAGCAATGTTGTCGTTGATCTGGACGACGATAGATGTGTCGTGTAGCTTTGTGACACGTGCAGGCAAGATGTGACCTACCTTCAAGTCTTGAAGGGTCAATGACTTGCCAGTCACATTGGTCGCAGCTGTTAGATCCAACTTTCCGGCTGCAACGTCGACCGCCTTGACGCGAACCTTGAGAGCAGAGCCAACGGGAAAATTCTCTGCAACGTCCGAAAGCTTCTCCAGGTCGTCAGTCAGATCAAAGTAATCAATGCGACCACGAACGTTGGCGGAAATGTTCACCCAGACGTAACGCTCGGCAATGTTGTTGATGAAGGCGACATGAGATGATCCGGGGGTGATTTTGTCAAGGCTCAACACGTCGGCTTCAGTCTTGACTTTATCGGTGTTTGCGGTCATCTCGAAAGTGGGCGTTTTGTTGTTTGATCGGGAAGTGATGGGGAGGAAACGGAAGTTGCGGGCATCGTGCCTTCCGAGAACTCTGGCCTGGATCTTGTCGTTCATCTTGAAATGTGCTGTTGGGTGCTTCTTGTCTGGGATGCTATCCCAACCATCGAACAATTCTGAAACCGAAATACGTCCTGGAACATTTGCCGCAAGCTCAACGTTGAGCTGTGTGTCTTTGACCGATCGAATGCGGACTGTTGCTAGGGCGCCGAATTTGATGTCGTCGGTAGATGTGATCTTGGGGTCGACAGGTTCTACTAAGGCCTCCCCTTTCGAAGCTGGAGCATCAACGACGTTGGCCGCTTCTGGATCAGATTCACTCTTCATCGACAGCCAAAAGAATCCTTTCCCAGCGTCCACATGTGTGACACGAGCAGTGACAGACTGATCCTTACGAAGACCAAAGTTTGGCGCTGAAAGCATGTCTTCCGGTAATTGCGACTTGAACAAAACACCACTTATGCCGTTGCCAAGCTCGATGAAGATCTTGTCGGGAAGAATGCCGCGCACAAAGCCATGTACTGTCTCGCCAGCTTGGAGATCTTCAATGCTGATTGCCAGCTTTGAAGCCTGAGCGTCCTTTCGAAGACTAGGCTTGTTCGAGACTGTTGCTGTCCTAGACTTGCCATGCTTTGTCAAGACCACAAGGTCCTCGAGAGTTCCACCTACCCGAATCTTCTTCATGGTCGAAATGTCCTTCTTCTCCGATCCGTCGGTCAGGTGACCTATGCGGAGGGTAGCCTTGACACCATGGCCAATGTCCAGAGTAGCGGTTTCATCGGACTTCTCGATGACAGTTCCCTTGACGATGCCACCAGGGTTCAGTGCGTTGAAAGCAGCCTCTTTGTTGATATCAACGGCAGCGGGATCCTTGCAGGATACCAAGAGCTGGTTCTCCTTTGCGTCTACAGAGACAATACGGACGTTGACGACCTGACCGGCCGAGAAGTGTCGCGTGGCATCCTCGATGTATGCTTCGCTCATCTCCGCAGCTGGGAGCCATGCCTTGACGTCGCCGTAGAAGCGTACTGTGGCACCATTCTTGCGAACGCTGACCAAGATACCAGGGCCAGTAGCACCCTTGGAGAGCATGGAGTAGTTTGTCCATGGCTTAACATCTGAGTTGACGAGAGACTTCTTTAGGGTGAGTTGGATCTGATGTCTGGCGGGTTCCGTGTAAAGCACACGGGCTGTGACAGGGAGACCTTCCCTAAACTTGCGTTCCGGATGTTGTAGACGGACGTCGGCCAGATGCATCTCTGGAACTAAACCGGTGATGCCCTCGGCAAGGTGAACAAGAACGGCGGTAGCTCCCTTCTTGTCAGCAATGAGCTTGTGCACCTTACCCTTGACAACTTCACCAGCCTTGATATCCTCAATGCGAAGGAAGGGCTGATCAAGGATCTTCTGCTCGAGCGAAAGTTGGAAGAGTCCGTCCAAAGCATTGTAGCCTACAATCCGTGCTTTGTGCTTTGAGTCAAGCTTGTATGCGCCGGCCTCTTCGGAGAGAACGTCGACCTTGTCGTCAGAAAGTCTCGAAACGTGCGCAAAACCGACGACGTCTTTGATGCCGAGATCGAAGAAAGCACCGTGGCTTGGCGCTACTTTGATAACTTTCGCGCTGTCAACGATGGTGGATATGGGGAGGAGGTCGATCGGAGGCTTGCGCTCCTTGGGTTTGCCAGACATGCGGGCGGACAGACTAACCACATGGTCTAGCAATGATACACCGACTTTCCTGGGCTCGGAGTCTGGACATGTGAACAGAACGCGGGCCTTGACTTTGGAGCCGATCTTGTGCTTGGTGGAGATATCGGCAGCCTTCTCAGTCGCTCCAGAATGGTATGCGTCGGCAGTCGCGTCTATGAGACCGAGGATCTTGCCGGTCAGCGTGCTGGATGTAGTGTCGGTAACAAGTACATCGACGGCGGTTCCTGGTAGGAAAATATCGACAGTGGGTGCTTCAGTCAGCGTGTTGCCCTTGGTCAAGTTGCCTGCTTTGGTGTGGTCTGCGGAGAGCTTGACAATGCGCCCATCCGAGTTAAGGCCGGTAACCAAGCACATGAAGACGGCGCCTTCTTGTACCTTGGCATGTTGCACCTTAGGACCTAGTTCGCCCTTTGGCAGGAATCCCTTCAGGCTGCTATCGTCGAGGCCGAGGTCCATGACCAAGCCGTGGTCCTCATTGCTGACTACGGAAGCCTGCACCATGCTGTTTACGGGTATCTTGCGCTTGCTGAGGCCCTTGTTGACCAGCTTGGGATCGACGGACAGCTCCAGCCTCTTTCGTGCTCTTGCACTGGCGTCGCTTGTCGCTGTGATGCATGCGCGGACATACTGTCCTACCGAGAACATATCCTCTAGGTGCACATCTTCAAAGTCTTCATCGTCGCTTCCTTCTTGCTTGTCCGCCTCCTCCTCCTTGAGGAGTTTCTCTAGCCTCTCGTTGAGCTTGTCGGACACGGCGGTGAGCGGGACGTAACCAACCAGGTTGTTCGGGAGCGCGAGGACGATGTCTTGGTGAGATATGTCTGTGATTTGGCCGAGAATGATGGTTCCAGGCGACAATTTCTGCGATCGTTAGCATGAAACTCGCACTGCGCAGAGACTGGCGTACCTTGTAGCTCAGACCCTCTGCCCTCACGGTGTCGTCCTTCTCTCCACTGTCGTGCGACTTCTTGCTCTTCTTGAGCAGCGGCTTCTTCTTGGACTTTGCGGCGGATCCCTCCTCGTCCTCGGATCCCATGTCGCTGAATCCATCGTCGCCGCCGCTGGGTCGCTTTTCGCCAGACTGCTCGAAAAGAACATCCTGGTTCGCCTTGATCGAAATCTGCTTGTGCTCAAGCGGCGTCAAGACGCTGGCACCTCCTCTGGGGAACGACTTCTCCTCATCTTTGAAGACACTGGGCTTGGGTGCAGCGCTCTCAGGCTTCGACTTGGCCGGTGATGGCTGCTCGGCATCAGATTTCCGTCGCTTCGCTGATCGGTCGGTGGATGCGCCCTTTGCCTTTTTCGATGGCGCGGCGCCTTGCTCTGCTTTTCGTTTGATTGCGCCCATGATGCGCAAGTTCTCCGGTTGTGGAGAGGGTGGTGGTACTCAGGTTTGCGCCAAGAGTTCGAGAGTCGCATATGCTCTTCGACTTTTTTGGTGGGTCCATGCGCGCAGATTCTCCGACCCCCGACGGCAGGGAAGCCGCGGCTGGCACGTGAGCTAGAGTGGCAGGGCAACGCGCGCGAAAGAGAGCAACTTCTCGATGCGACAGCTTTCACGAGTTGTAGAAAATGTTAGACCACAAAATGAAATGATACTTGCATCTGCGGTGTTTTGTGCTGCAATTCCGGAACATTTAGCTATGTTGTACGGCAAATGGGAGGATATCTCGAGGGAAGGCCATGTCCATTAACGCCCAGAACGGCATAGTGCAGCACGTCGGTCGCGCCAGCTCTTCGCGACGTGCTTTGGCCGTGCGCCTTCCTCTCCAACCTCGCCGTCATTTATGGGCATTCGTCTTCTATTCCTATCGGCATCTTCAATTGCTCGCGTGTCTTCGCTTGATCGTTTATTGGTGTTGCTTGTGTATGTGTACTGCTAAAAAGGAACATGTCTTCTCCATGCGCCCCTCGAAGTCTGCTGCTCCAAGAGCCCACGCCGGAGCTCTTTTCATCACCACCTCCACCGTCCTCCGCGACTGTTTGCTCTCGCAAACCCAAACGGCCACCGCCTATCACGCCCAAGCGCTTTACACGCTTCTTCACCCCGCGAAACTCCAAAGATGTCTCATCACGCACCACCCTCACGAGGTCGGGTCGCCAACTACAAGACATCACACGATCTGCTCTCAATCGCAGCCGGGAGACGCGGAGCACCCCACGCAAGACAGTCAACTTCGTCGACATCGAGAACCCAATGCGAACCCCCCAGAGCAGCGCGCGGAAGCGGAAGATACCCTACCTGTCGCCCGCTAGCTCACCAGCCCAGTCGTCACCGTCGAAGCGATCGCGTTACGTCACTCCACCAGAAATCGATGTACTTGAAGACGGGCTCGACTTGGATGATGAGGAGCCTGCCATACACCCTGCGCCTATCCGAAGGTTAACAACACTGGGTCGGCCGTCGAGAACACTGCAGCGGTCGTTCGGTGGGATACTGGGCGTAGGAAGAGGGTTTCGACGAGACCATGGCGCCTCATGGCAAGACCAGGCAGCCAATTTCTACAGTGGCGCAGACGACCTACATCAGTTGTCGCAGGGCGCGCCGCCCTTCTGTACGGCCAGTTGCAACAGTATGTCATTCACTCATTACCCTACGTCATCACGATACTGACAACCCCTAGCCAACTCTATGCTCGCTATAGGCGATGAAGACGGATACATCCACCTACAAGACTCCGAAGGTGACTTCTCCAAGCCCCATGTGTCATGGAAAGCCCACTCCAACGCCATCATGGACGTGCAGTTCTCCTCGGACGACCTACACCTCGCCGCCGGTTCGGGAGATCAGACTGCACAGATTGTCGATGTTCGCACCCAGCAAACTCTTGCTGTGCTGGCGAAACACAAGTCGTCAGTAAAGCAAGTCCGCTTCCAGCCCGGCGACGACAAGATGGTAGCGACGTCAAGTCGAGACGGTGCAGTACAGATTTGGGATCTCCGATGCAAGGGCAACCAAGGCTCAATACACTCAGCCTGGGGCTCCGATGCACCGTATGCCAGTGTTGTACGCACGTTGGCCTCAGCGCACGCGGACATCAGTCTCCCGACATCCACATCGTCGGCCACCCGATCACTCTCCAACAGCAAAACCGAAAACATCAGCCGACGGAACGACATTTCAGTGACAGCGCTTTCGTTCATGCCCGCAGGCCGCGAACACCTACTCCTGACCGCGTCAGACGCATCGACATGCGTTAAGCTCTGGGACATCAGAGGCCGATACTCCCTGCGAGGGCCTGCCATCCCCATCGCAACCACCCGCCATCCTGAATCCCACAACCGCCACCGACACTTTGCCATTAACTCTTTGACTCTTAGCGGCGATGCATCACGACTATACGCCCTCAGCAAAGACAACACCGTCTACGCCTACTCCACAAGCCACCTCATCCTCGGCGTAGCACCAGAGCTCTCCACAACCTCCTCCTCAAAACAGAAATACTGCGGTGTAGGCCAAGAAGGCCTAGGACCCATCTACGGTTTCCGACACCAGAACTTCCACGCCGGGTCCTTCTACGTCAAGGCATCCTTACGCAAAGCGTGCGAAGACCGCACCGAGATGCTCGCAGTAGGCAGCACAGACGGCTGCCCCGTGTTGTTCCCCACCGACGAAAACTTCCTCAAACGCGAAACAAGACACGGAGACGACGCAGACGATCTCCCTGATATGACTAGCATTGCCGCGAAATCCGCACGACCCACGCTTTCCCGCACATCGACAAACAGCCGCTGCCCAGACACCATCCCCATATACGAACATGGCACAGCTCTCATACGAGGACACGACGCAGAAGTCACAAGCGTATCATGGGCGCGTAACGGCAGCTTGATCAGCGTGAGCGACGACTTCCGCGTCCGACGTTGGAAAGAAGGGAGTCAAGCTAGAGACCTCCGCATGGGTGGTGAGAGCGAGGGAAGGAGGTGGCAGTGCGGATGGGCCGCTGTAGGAGATGGATACGACGACGACGAGTAGGATCGTCCGCGAGTTTTTGTACGACGTTGTTTATTATACCCCAGCTATTGATTGTGTAGGAATATGAATGAAGACAGGATGATGATTGTGGAATTTGACTTGCTTTCCGGTGCCTATCGTATGTCTCTTCAAACCATTTGACTATGTACCTTGCTGCTGTGCAATGACAACACTAGGCCTGTAACACAAACACTTGGAGCCAGCCACTCTTGAACCTTTCCCGTCTTGCCTATGAGACTAGACATCGACCCGCCTACCCTTTCCTCAGCCAAGGTCTTCCTTCCACTTTGTCATGCTTCGCATCTCGATCTTCTTCTCCATCATCGACATTCTGCTTCTCGCCAGCCTCACAGAAGCTTCCTGGTAACAGCCTATACGTCCGCTCATCAAATCGGTCCGCCTGTGTACTTTCGAAACTACCAAAAGACCCTGATATCACCCTGCGAGCTCCGCATAGCATGGTGCCAAGGAAGCTTGTTGGCGTAGAGGGCGGGGGAGTGACGGACTGTAGCTGTAAGTTTGATCGATCTGACTGCGGTGATGCGGACGTAGTGTCCGTCGTCTGCACCCCCTCCATCCGGTGTATACGTGCTGGTAACGGCTTGATGGGCCGATTGAAGCTGCCAGGCATACTTGTAATCGTACCTCCAGGCTGTGCAATAGTCTTCGAAAGAGACTTGTACTCAAGGGGTGCAGCAGGGAAATCCGCTTCTTGAGACGGCCGCACCGGGAAGTTCTCCCATTGCGACGCTGTAGGTGTAGATGGAAGTGAGGTGTCGTATCTTGTTGGCAGTGAAGGGTATGAAATCGTACTGTCGGAGTATGTACTCTGCGGTAGGTCTCGTGTTGGCGTAGAAGCAGCAGTAGAGGTATAACTAGAAGAAGACGTCGAGTTCCGCAGGGAATCAGATCGCTGTTCCAACACTTTCCCCTGCCCGTCCGCGCCACCACGCTTCCTCTTCTTACCCCACACCTCTTCGTCTCGCTGTTTCCTCTTGACCTTGTCAGTTACATCGGCGTAGATAGTGCCGTTGAACGATTTCCACACTTCGACGCCTTTGCCGAATACGGTTTCGACTTTTCGATTTGTGTGGTCGGTCATCTTGTTGAGATACTCTTGCGCCTCGTCCTCGTTGTCTTCTTCGTCGGTTTCAGAGCCGTGCGTTGTGTCCATTATGCCGGTGTTGGAGGTGGTTATGAAGGAGGTGGAACTTCCCCCGTTTCGCCCGCGGAAAGTGTCGAAGAGTGACATTTTCCGTCGCTTTTGCGCTGGGGCGGAGGGTGGAGGGTTGGATACATTGTTCATGTTGTTCGATGGTGTGTTTGTGGCGAAATTCAGGAAATAATGGACGGGGTGGAATGCACTCGTGACAAGCGGGCTGTGCTATTGAGTTGATAGAGGCGTTCGTGAGTTCAGAATTGGTCGGTTTAGTGGATGTTCACACGAAGTTGGAGCCTAGATCTGGGTTTTTTGTGAGCTATGATGATTGCTTTCACTTTGGTATCGAGTCAAATTCAGAGACATTGATCAGCTGACACCTCCAGGGCTGTATAGCTTGCCACAATGTCTTATGTGTCCTGCAATGTTCACAGATCGTGCCTATGCGTCCTAATGTCGCCCTTTTGGCGTGTTCATCCAGTGTCTTTGCCCAAATTAAATGCCATTTGATACCTACGACGTTCCGAAGTCGTCTTCGACAAAGACTTGTACTCCAATGGTGTAGCAGGGAAATCGGCTTCTTAAGACGGCCGCACGGGAAAGATCTCCCATTTGTAGAACACGAAGAGAGATATATGTAACTGTTCTGTATAAGAGGGAGGAAGCTTTGTATATAGAGTAGAGCAAAGTCCTAACAATAATAAAATAGATGCTATTTCTAGCTATTTGCTTAAAAGCATCTGTCCACCATCTACAGCTATTTCAGTGCCTGTCACAAAGCGATCCTTCATAATCCAGCCATACGCTTCAGCAATGTCCTCTGGCTGACCAAAAGCACCTAGTAGATTAAGTTGTTTCTTCATGCCTTCCTTTGCCTCTATCGGCATCGGGGCTAACAATCCTTGCAGCATTTCTGTCTCGATTGCGCCAGGTTTGACAATGTTCACCCGAAGCGGCGCAAGATCGACTGCAAGCCCACGCGATAATCCTTCTGCAGATGCTCCCCAGACTGCCGGAATTAGCCATCCAGGCAGAGGCTTTGTAGTTCCGATTCCTCCCGTGAGCGTGAAGGATGAATTTGACGTAAGATGCATGTACGCTCCGGTGCTGATGAGTTTAGCGATGAACAAGGGCGCGATAAGTCGGATTTTGGAACCAAGCATGACTTGGTCAAGGGTGATGTCTGAGAGCTTGGGCATCGAATGGTGGTCTC